CCTAATTGGCTGCTGCAGCCGCCAAAATGTTCCTCCACACCGAAGAGAGCGAGGAGAAACTCAAAGGAGTGGACAAATCCACCACTGGGACCCGCAGAACCGGCTGTCGCCGCTGGGACACGAGGCAGTCGCTCACTGCTCTCTCTGCCTCTGTCCGCTGGTTTTGAGGTGAAAAAGTTTCACTTTGTGTTATGCTGTGTTGTGGGGGCTCAGATTGTGCTGCTGCATACATTTTGCCCTTGGCTGTGCGTTGTGCTGTGATAGTTCAGCCAATAGTGACCCCAATGACTGTCTGAATACAGGGTTCTTCTTGTCAGCTTCATCACATCACTTCTGTTCATCTCCATCTCTTGTTCGTCATCTTCTGGAGACAGGGTTCTTCTCATCAGCTTCATCATATCAGTTCTGTTCAGCTCCATCTGTCATTCTTCATCTTCTGGAGACAGGGTTCTTCTCATCAGCTTCATCATATCAGTTCTGTTCAGCTCCATCTGTCATTCTTCATCTTCTGGAGACAGGGTTCTTCTCATCAGCTTCATCATATCAGTTCTGTTCAGCTCCATCTGTCATTCTTCATCTTCTGGAGACAGGGTTCTTCTCATCAGCTTCATCATATCACTTCTGTTCAGCTCCATCTCTCGTTCCTCATCTTCTGGAGACAGGGTTCTTCTCATCAGCTTCCTCAGATCTCAGGACCACAGGGCTCAGCTGGCCCCTCCAAACCAGTCATCATGGGAACAGACACAGAAACACAAACAGTGTTAAGGCATGTGCACGTTCAAAATGAGCTACTATGGAATTATCATTTCTTACCTCAAGTTTATTTATCATTATTAGAGCTAAATGAACTTAATAAGTTAAGATGACTTACAATAAAACACCTAAACCTAACATAACATAATTTAACATAATAAACATAACCTAATTTCTCAAACAAAACAAAACAAAGTGAGTTCAATCAATCAAATCATTCAAACAATCATTCAGAACAACCGAACTGACTATTTCCGAACAGTATTCACATAGACTGTTTACAAAGGCTTAAAATTAATTAAGTATTAAGTTGTTGTTTTTTTTGTTTTGGGGCGCTGCATTAGACGTGGTAGCTGCTGGTGAACCAGTTGGTAGTGCACCAGGCTTTTCACTATTGTATTGGCAATATAATGAAATATGATGGCTATTACTTCTTTTTTTTTTTTTTTTGTTATCACAGAGTTAGTCCTTAGTAGTTGTACTACCAAGTACCAAGTACTATGGGACACACTCTAACCCTTCTATGCCAAGAAAAAGCACAAGTTTAAAGTAAATGCAAGGAGTACTATGCAGGAATGTCTGTCAAAATGTAGTATTCTGATTAAATGTAGTTTATCAATTAGAACCCACTTTTTCAGTGCAATCTAACTGGGGCCCAATTGCATATTTCATGTATTATAAATAAGATAGTTAAGAATCACTCAATTAAAATATAGACAAAACTTTACATGTTCAAGTACAAGTGTAAAACTTTCTTAGGTTTTGATGAAATCCTATATAATAATCCTTGCTTTTTTCTTACTTAAAAAAACTATAACACTCAGCTTCACTTCTAACCATCCTATGCCCAAAAAACTGTCGAAGGTGTACTATGTAGGAATTTCTGTCAAAACTGTAATACTCAAATGAAATGTATCGTTAATTAGAGTTTTGTCAGTGAAAAAAATGTAATGTATTGTTGTTGTTTGTTGAAATCCTACATAGTATTCCTTTTTTTTTTTGTTTTTTTTTTGTTTTTTTTTGTTTCACACCAACACAAAGCTACTACTATTACAATACTATAAAACACACTCTCACCTCTAACCCTCCTATGCCCAGAAAGTATAAGGTGTACTATGCAGGAATTTCTGTAAAACTGCAGTACTCAGATTCGAATTCATAATAGAAATTACAGTTAACTCAACAAGAAAAGGATATGTTTTATCATCATGTTTGTTGTTTATGAAACCCTACATAGTATTCCTTAACTTCAATCTATTCCTTTTTTAAATCAATCAACAAATCAGTGAAGAAGTCAATGGGGTGATGGGCGGGGTTGAAGGTGGTAAAGTCGCATTGAGCCAAGCTCTGAGTCTGAGTCAGAGGCTGAGTTCAGTCCTCATCCGACTCCGAGTCTTGGTGCAGGTGGAGCTGCTGATGGAAGTGGAATCTGATGCCCCCAGACGTCCCAGAGGAGGTGGAGAGACCTGGGTCAGACGTAGAGGGGCGTGGGTTGGAGGAGGAGAGGCACGGCCGCTTGGAGCTGGGGACTTCCTCGTCTTCAATGTCTTCATCCCTGACGCGCTTGCCTTCGCTGAGGGGAATGAAGTCCAGAGCAGAACCCATAGGGAGAGGGCGGGGAGCAGAAGAGTGAGCGGCGGAGAGGAGGGCTCTGATGGCCAGGCCAGGTCTCTGTGCTCGCTGCTGAGGAGAGGGGCTCGGGGCGCGAGCCTCTGGCTCCACAGCTTGAGCAGTAGAGCCTACCCACCTGCCATCATTCCTCACCTCTTCTTCATCCCTGTTGTGCCTGCATCCTATCAGGGGAATGAAATCCAGAACAGGGCTCGGGGCACGAGCCTCTGGCTCCACAGCTCGAGCAGGAACTTCCAACCAGGGTATCCTGAGATGATGGAAGGGCATCTCTTCTTCCCTCTCTTCCTCCTCTTCTTCGTCTTCGGTTTCTTCTACCCTCTCTTCTTCCTCTTCCTCCTCAGAGAGAGTCTCGTATCCAGAATCAGCTGACATATAACTCCACTCTTCATCAGATGACCAAAACTCGTCGCTCCCGCTCTCTTCATCAGATGACCTAGACGGAGGCCTAGGACGACCTACCCCATACTCACCTTGGTCGCCCTCGTCCGAAGAGGAGTAGTCTGGAAGCGCCACCACGTGAAGATCCAGAGCCACAGCCACAGCCTCTGCAACAGGTTTGGCAATGTTAAACACCCTTTAAATTGTAGCGTGAGCAAGTCAGACTAGTACCACAGACTGTAATGACTTATACTACTACTACTACTACTCCCAGTTATTTAAGTACCATATTGAAGAGGTCTACGGTGTTTATCTCGAGGAGCTAGAGTTTGCAAGGGGGATTTGTTATTTTGATGTTTCTGTCTTAATTAACTGTAGGTCTATGACTTTGCTTCTGATCAGTACAGTCAGTATGGCCTATTTTACTGGTACATCTCTTATTTTACTGGTGCTTAAGTAATAAGTTGTGGTGTATTCCAAATACTGCATTGTGCAATTCAGACCAGCTGAATACATTTGGTTGGGTATGACGTTGTCATTACAGTGCTGCAATGCATGGTAAGTAAATAAAAACATAAAATCAAAATCAAGATAAATGATACTATAAAGATATACAATAGACAAAAACTAACACAACACTGTCAGCAGAGTAAAGCTACGAGGCTACAAAACTGCACAATAAGTGGCTCTGACTGTAGTTACGAACAGTGCAGCAAATGGACTAGAATAAACAGCAGGTAAAGTGACTTGAGTATACCTTATTCTTTGCACAATAAGTAGCTATAACTATGTATTATCTACAGTGCTGTATATGGACAAATTAAATCAAGTGACTTGTGAATTGTACCAGCAAAGTCTCATAATGTTACAGTATTGTGTGTGATTAGGCCAACAGGTGGATGACACATAAAGAACACAACATTTTTATTGTGAATTTCTAGTTATACTTGAGTAACTGTGCATTTTAGAATTCATAATTATGAATGTAGTTATGGATTATGGATTAGTAGGACAGTTTAATTAAGCATGTTTTTATAGTTTATAGGCTATATCTTGAGTCTTATAGGTTTTCTTGCACTGATTTCAGTCTGTCCTTTCCTCCTTTGCTCTGCTTCACTGTGCACCTGACAGTCTGGTAAACCCATCTAAACCAAACCTCAATCGAAAGGCTCAAATTAAAGCCAAACACCAGCATGTCTTGGGACATCAAATGTGCATCTTTTAAATATTCCAATTTAGAATGGCTGGATTTCTATGGACATCAAATGTGCATCTTTTAAATATTCCAATTTAGAATGGCTGGATTTCTATGGAGATCAAATGTGCATCTTTTAAATATTCCAATTTAGAATGGCTGGCTGAGCGCTATGTTTTTTTTCAAAATGCCACAAAACCCTGATGAATATTGACGCTCAGAAAATAAAACACAAATAATTTCCTATAAATGTGACAATAACTTTTCACTACGCACTCGTGCTGATATTTTAAGAGCAGTTTCGCCAACTATTTATCATGATCCAAAATGTAATCGTCGAGTGACAGTCACAAACTAACAAATGTTTTTCAAATTTTCATAAACCTGGTTGATAAGAGCCAAATCTTAGAGCTACAGAAACAGTCACAGGTGGACAAAACTGTTCTTGTCGTAAAATATTTGGGCTGTTATTAATATTTGTCATAATTTATCATGGTTGAATGTTATTTGATTAATTTTACCTTCAGGGACGAGATCCTGGCGGTCAGGGTCCGGGGAGGGGCGCACCAGGTCCATGGTGAAGTCCAGTCCCGATTTGGTGTGTTTTCAAAACTCCAGAAAGTTTTGACAGGCAGTTATACCGAGTTGTGATGGTGTTTTACAGCCGGTGAGGGGCTAATAACAGATGAATATCAGAGTCACGTACACGTGTCCGCAGAGCGTTCAAGAAGCGTTCAAAAAGCGTTCTCAGGTGAGAAGGGGGAGGGCAACTGCGCGCGCAGCCGCTTATATAGTGCGCACGACGTTCTGTCGCTATGGCACCGACGCACCGACCGACGCAAGACCAGGGCATTGTACAGCTCCCGGGCTTTAAGCTCGTTTGAAATTACAAAATAAACATAAAATCAAAAAAAAACAAATTTAATTAAATATTTCTTGGCCTAGATACAAGAAACAAAAAAATAAAACAATAAAATTAATGTCAATATAAAGCTCACAGTGTTAATGTCAACCAAACATTCTCAAGTAAAACGTTTAACTACTCTTAAAGATCCTATATTACACAAAATTTATTCTTGCGCCCTTTAAACCATGTCAGAATGCCGTGAACACGGAGTTGTGTTTTGTTTCATTCACACATGTTGGAGTAACCCTTTATTAGTCGTCTGTCTTCATCTCCAATGCTCCAGAGCACAAGGCGGAACTGAGTGTTTTCTGTTTGAGAGAAGAATTCAGCCTAAATATGTGTGAATGGAACAAAACACAACTCCAGGTATGTTTGTGATGAGGAAACAACGTTATGACACAGATCAGAAAACAGCGTAATATGGGCCTTTTATATAATTATTATAAAACACAATCTCTGCCAAAAGTTAAATTTCTTTATTGATTATTTTACCAAAAGACATTATAGTTTCAGATCTTATTAAACGCTGCTACATCCACAGACTGCACGTAGTCCTCAAATGCAGTAATGGCCTCTTCTAACATGTCTGTCCCCACTTTATCATCCTCCACCACGCACACCCGATCTGGAGTTTCTTAATCCCATATCCAACCGGAACCAGCTTGGACTGCCCCCACAGCAAACCCTCCATCTCCACGCTCCGAACGCACTCCTCCATTTTAACCATATCTGTCTCGTCATCCCAGGGTTTAACATCGAGAAGGAT